TGCAATGCACAGACGCACATATCGGCTAATTAGTCCTAACAGACTGATTAAAATTCAAGAATTTTATTCACCAAGACGGGAGACAAATGACTTTTTTAAAGCCAGAATTAAATGGATTTTTACTTTTTGACAGATGTTTCCTCACTTTAAAACGTAACTATACAGACAATCATTTCTCTACTTATTTCAATTTCAGAATTTCAACATGTACACAACACACACAATCTCTTTCATCAGTGTGCTTATGTGAATCTCCTGAGCATTCATAATGACTGATAGTTTGCCAACAGAAGTGATTTGTGCTGTTTGTGGCCAAGAAAAACTATTAAGCCCTCGTGCGTTCTCTCCCACTGGTCCAGTCAAATCGGTCTCTCTGATGTATAAGCATAAACTTTTCTGAAGCTGCTTCTAAGCACTATTAATAAGGAAAGGCAGCTAACTCTAGTAATAAAGGTCAAACAGTAGAAAAGAAAGGGCTACATGGTTCTGCTCAGATAGTCCCAATTATGGATGAAGACACAGAGGAAGAGAGGAACAAGGAGATCATCTGGCTGACACGCCAGTCTAATGTGTAAAGATGTGCTTGCACGTCTTTAGCTGTGTGTTTTTTGTGTAATTTAGAGTTCTACAGTTAGTTTACTTTTCAAAACTAATAGTCGTCCCTGGCGTCTTTGCTTCAGTTTCACACCAATAAATGAAAATGACAGTGTTAGGGGTTTTTTCAGGGGGTGTGTTGAAAGTAAAAAGTTACTTGATGACAAAGTAACCTACTTAGTCATGTTTAAGACAGCTGTAGTTCTTGTTTATGGTTCTAATGTCTCAAACAGGGAGTCCCTTCTGATTTTTAGAGCTGTCAGACACGAGCGCATAGTGCTGTTATACAATAACAAATCAGCCACCCACAACTGATAAACAAAGCCAGAAAAAAACATAAGGAATTTGAGTTTTGCCAAGACTCCAGTGTATATACGCATAAATTATAAAAATGATCTAAGGACTTGAAATGTGAGGAAAAAATACTAAAACAGGCTCAATTGCTGTATGTACGATAAACAGCTTTTTTTAACAGATAAAATGGGATAGACAGACATCAGCGTTATGTGTTCACCGTCTTTGAGACATTGTGCTCTTTGTTATGCCGCAAAGGCAAATCAACTTTTGTGAACTTGTTTTATCAGTCAGACAAAGACACGTGCCATTGTACTTGTCAATGGAATCATTCCATGAAGAATCGGTCAGCTGACCCCTTCAGAATCAATTGGGTTTTTTTGTAGGTACTATTTGTGTATTTAATGAGGTCATGTGAATTTTCACCTTTAGACTGCAGCAATTGTCCATGTTACAAAAAAGGGCCTCTAAGTGCAGGATGTTAGGTTGAATTATTCCACTTTAGTAAATGAAATTAGTAGGAATTAATGAATAATTTGCATCATTTTTGCAGCCTTTTCTGAGCTTTTATTTTGTAAGTACAGGAGCTAACCACATTATGTTTTCATTGCTGAAAAACTGTAAACAAATTAATTTTCTTCCACTCAAAGTCCCACTTTATCATAGTTTCAAACATCTTTTTAAGCAACTTTAAGCATCAACATCAGGCATATATCAAAACTTTGTAGCAAGACTACACC